TTTTAGGTATGTAAATAAGAATAAATTGACAAATTTACCATTACTTTTACTTTTTATTCATTAACTTAAAGACATCTACTTTTAGAAAGATGAGCAAAAATGTAAAAATCAATCATCATTTATTGTGATTCTTTAATCCTTGTGGGGATCAAAATTTGAAATTCAATTCGAGACTTTAATTGCTAGAATGAATATGTATAAATGGATAGAAAAATTGATTTATGGACGTGGGTCGTTGTAGTCAGCCTTTTAGTACTGAAAGAAAACACACTCCTCAGCTGTCTCCATTGGCTATGAGCCTATGACTAGGCACTTAGCTAGCATGGTCCGACATGAATGATCCCAACCCATTTGCTTCTTGAGTTGTCACAGACCCTAATAAAAAAATGTTGGTGTACACATTCTTATACACATCACTATTCTGTATACATGTGTTTGTAAGAGATTTTTTTGTTTGTGATCCCAGTTCACAGACAAAACCGGCTTGTTTTGTCTGTGGAGATGTAATGATGTGTATAAGGTGTATAAAAGCAATTTTTCAACCCTAATGGCCAATTGTACAAACATATACGGAGCAACTTTTTCTGATAGGATATAGCCAATCTATTCGACTAAACAATAAGCCGATTTAGTCTGGATCCCCTTCAGGTAGCCATAATTTTGTTTTGTACTTCGTATTTTGTATGGTTACTTTTGTAGTTTTGTACAATCAGTTTTGTACGTAGTACTCCGGTATTCCCCACTCCAACATTTAAGTTTATAATTTTATATTTTGAGTCAAACTTTGTTAACTTTGACCGTTATTTTGTAAAAAAATCATACTTCCTCTGATCCTGAATTAAATTCACACTTTCTTTTTCCGGTAGGTCCAATAAAAATTTCACACTTCTTCTCTCTTCCTTATTTGGCAAATTCTCTACATCAAAACAGTGTCAAACAGTGCCAAACAGTGCAAAACACTGTCAAACAGTGCCAAACAGTGTCACAACAGTGTACTCTACAGTAAAGTCAAATTTATTTTTTTTAATTTGTGTGAAATCAAAGTGTGAATTTGATTCGGGACCGGAGGAAGTATTATTATTTACAATTCCAAAAACTTTTAATGCTTCATTTTAATATGGAGTGTACATTTTGTTTTATAAATATATAAGACATATACTATCGTACTTAATTCGTCACTATTAATGACTATAATTTTGTTTAAAATTTATATCATAATAACTAAATGATGTAAATTACTGTGATGTAAACTTTAAACATATTTATAGTCACTAATAGTTACTAAGTCACATTTTTGTTCATGACATTTTTATTAGTGACATTGAAAGAACTAGTCGTACCTGATAACTTAAGGGACGGAAGGACTATATGTTTTAGTTTAAATAACTAGTCGTACCTTATTTTTTGAAATGTAAACATACGTACCTTAATAGTATTCAGCTTTCAGGCTGTTAATTAATTGTAGTGCAAAATGTGAAAAACCTTCAATGGTTTGGTACTTTGGTTACGTTGGTTTATAATGCTCATGGAAAAGCACGTAGTGCTCCAAAGATGAAAAATTGGTACCTCGTATGTAGTACCGGTACACCATGTTAATGGTATACCAGTACCACAGTATAATTTGCGTCAAAATACACATAAATCCCAGAAATCTAAAAGATTAAAACCATACTTAAATAGACCAAGCAAGAACAAACCAAAAAAGATTAGAAAATTTGAGTCCAATTAAAAACATCTTAAGAGTTAAAGTAGCATAAGTTTTTTTTAAACAAAGGATTGAACAAAGTTGCTTGTTTCATTCTACTTTCTCATGTTGCTGACATCATTCAGTTGAAAGAAATGAAAGATAAAAATCAACTATCAAATTTTACATTAATAATTAAAAGCTTGCAATATAATTAAAGATATGAAGTAATTATTGAATTTGTGCAATAGGTCTTCTTTTAATTTGCTCACCACAATGTATGTAAAAACAACCAATGTTTTCCCCTCAAAAAGACTTTCAAGTTAATATTGTAAATTTATTTGCAGCCCTACAATTGTGAAAATATGGAGTGAAAGAAAAGTAGCACACTACTCATCAGCACCATACCTAGCCACATTCATAAACTGTGGCATGTGGTTACTATATGGAACTCCCATTATTCACCCCAAGGGCCTGCTGGTGATGACCATCAATGGCGCGGGCGTAGTCATTGAAGTCGTGTTCTTGTTTGTATTTTTCTTCTGTTCAGACAAGAGAAAAAGAATCAAACTAGGGGTCGCCATCCTCGTCGAAGTTATTTTCTTCGTAGCTCTGGTTGCTCTGATCATTACCCTTGCACATACTTGGGAAAGTAGGTCTGCTATTGTTGGTGGCATTGCAGCACTAGCTAGTATTGTCATGTACGCTTCTCCTTTGGCAAGCATGGTTAGTTTCATTCCTTTTTTATATACTTCTAACATCACTAGTATTATAGTATCTCTTGGTTCATCTCTTCTATGATAATATCAACATATATACTTAATTGGGATTTGGGATGAGACTCGGTCTTGTCATTTGAGAGCGTAACAATGATGTCATTTGACTATTATAGATACTTACCGGTTAGTCTCATTCTATTACACCACAATTTCGATATTCAATGATGGTCAAGCAATACAACAACGTAACAAGAAAAACATCGAAGCCAAATCTCAAAAGATTTATTTAGGTCGGCTAACATGAATCGATATAATATACTACCTCCAGGCTCGGCCCCACATTGAATGTCTTGTTTTAGTTTGACACGATTATTAATAAAGTGGTTGGAAAAAAAAAATTGTTATTGACATTTGAGTAAAATATGATGAAATGATTCGGATCACATATTTCTTACCAAAAAAGGAAACGTTGGTTTCATTTTGGGATAAGTGAACAATGCAAAAAGGGAAGTAAGACAACAAAAATAGGACGGAGGAAGTAATGTAATGTAATGTGATGCAAATGTAATGCAATGTAAATAGTTTTTGCAATTCTAAATTCTGATATTTATTGCTATGCAGAAATTGGTAATCACCACGAAGAGTGTGGAATACATGCCATTGTCGCTTTCAGTTTGTTCATTAGTGAATAGTCTCTGTTGGAGTCTCTATGCCCTTGTGCGAATGGAAATCTTTATTCTGGTAATTATTTACTCAATATCAAATACGAAATTTTGTACATTGAATTTGCTTATGTATACACAATACACAGGCCTATAAAGAAACAAGAGATTATATTAATAAGTGCCATTTTAGGTTAAAAAAATAAATAATCATATAGTCATTTCCAATGACATGGAATGCCCTCTTAAATGTTTGAAGAGTTGATGACAAAGAGAAACCAAAGGAAAGTTGTAAATTACAAGGATGATGAAGGACAAAAAAAATTGGGGAATACTTTGTTGTTTTTACAGGATTGAATTGAAATCATATTGTCTTTTTCCGAATGTCAATGCTTCAGTTTTACTTCTAAATTTAAAAACCGCCCTCTTTTGTGATATTTAAAAAGTTTAGTTACTATCTTGGCAACATTTTAATAACATATTTGTAACTATAGCTGAAACATGAGAATGAATATATTCCAAAACAAACACTTGTGCTTGTAAGAATATCCATAATGTAGAAATTGTTTGGGCCATTTTTAGGCACCTAATGGTATTGGAGTGCTACTTGGGCTTGCTCAAATTCTGTTGTATGCAAAGTACTACAAATCCAGCAAAGGTGTTGAAGGAAAGCTAGTTCTTGTAGAAGTTGGCTTGACCCAGGGAAACAAGAAACCAATGAGTGAGGCATGAAAGAAATGGCACACTTGCACTCCTTGGATGCATGATAACATAACATTTTCTACTTCATTCATATTACATTTATGTTACAATGCATATGAAAGATGTAATAGGAGTATATTTTTCTCTTATATATCCCAAGTAAATTTTTATCAAAAAGTTGTCATACACTAAATATCAAGTGTATTACGGAGTATTATTTATGGAAAATTCTCGAGATATGACTAAAACTTATTCAATTTCCCTAATATGTCTATATTTGTTTTTAAACATTCGTATGACTGATAATAAAATAAAAATCTTGTCATATCAAAATGTTGAAGGATGAAAATAGCCTTATTATAAAACAATAGCATTTTACATTGCTTTCGTTCAATTAAAAATATTACACTTCATATAGGCGTTACTGCCTGACATCCAACAGATGTGAGGACGATGCATGGGAGATGAACTCGTAGAAGAGGTGTGTTGCGTCAGCGACTCTCAACAGTGACAGTGGCACTCCTTGAGCTCCAACTGCGCACTCTAACGAGCTTGGTGCCTAAGTTGATGATGAGATGAAAAGTTTGGCTGAAGGGAGATGGGTGTAGGTGATGTTCCAAATGAGATTGGCATAAGATGGGCACATATTGACAAAAATGGAAGTCATAGTTTTGGCCTTTTGGGGAAATAAAAAACAATCATATTTTTGTCTTTTAGAAGTACATGAATAATATTTATTTTATTCTTTCAGGATTACTTACCGGTTACCACGTCTCTCCATGCTTTACCAAGGACAGTTACCACGATTGTCCGATCAGTTCAGGGAGCTCCTCAGGGATGGGGTGTCATACTTTTTTTGGAATGAGAAAATATTATTTTAATAATTGATAAAAGCAAGAACCGAACGGTTTAGTCTTTATTCAATTTTATAAGGGTCCACTAATATTGAATAAGAACCTATAGGAACCACAGTTGGTCGCTAACCAACTTTCTCATATGGGGTGTCTCAAGTTCGAAATACTATGAATAGTTTCCTCAGGATCCCCCAGCCTCCCGCGATAAAAAAAATACTAAGAACCCGGCTAATTTAGGCCTACCTCAAATAATCAACTTCAAGAAGTCATACAGAGTATCTTTTTAGTTGAACTGATCAGCTCGGATTGTCCTAAAACATTGTTCAGATACATAGGAGAAATATCCTTTCTTGGTTCAACAAACGAAAAACCCGATATGTGTACTTATATTAACATTTCTATGGTATACCGTATACACACATTTTATTATAAATTTATAAGGGCTGTCCTATGTACTAACTAGTTTTTCCAATATCTCTTCTACAAGTAACATGTATCTTATCAGTCATTTACTAGCATGAAAGAAAGCAAAACACCCTTTCTGGGTGAATCGAGCATAGCGTCTCACCCACAAACCGAACAATTGAAGAAAAAAAAACTATTAGAAAATGACATAATCTTTCACTATGGTATCTAAAAACACAGACAGTAAAGCATTGCTCCCCAAACCAAACCAGTTAGAGAGTCCATACAAGACATTGGTTCCCAAACCAGTTAGAGGCCAAGAGTCCAGCAACATAGTTTTAGATGTATAGTAGCAAGGAGTTCTATGAACCTGAAAAACCAAAGTGAAACGGCATGGATACATCATACATAGTCGTATCATTTTAAAATAAGAATGTTGCCTCATTCTAGACTTCATTCCATTTTCTTGATAGCATTCATCACTTGCAGGAAGATTCTTCTTGAAGGACACCATCGCTCAGCAATTAAGCTTATTTCTTTGGAACGCTATATGAAACAAATTTGAGTTGTCAATTGCTGTACAATGATTCCAAAAAAGAAAATAAAAAAAAAAAGCAGATAAATTTCCAACAAAAAAAATAACTAGTTAAGGTGGAAAGCAATGGTAACAGGGATACATGGTCATATCATACTAAAATATAGAATGTCACCTTAATCTACTCTTGCTTCTACTTTCTTGATAGCATCCTCAATTGCGGGAAGACTCTTCTTAAAGGAAACCCATTGCTCTGCAGTTAAGCTTATTCCTGTGGAAAGTAATATGAAAACCAATTTGAATCAAATTATCAAACATGGCTGATTAGTAACAATAGCGCACTACGGTTTTTCATTCAATTGTCAGCTACAGTTTTTTTCATATTGGCCCACTTCATTTTTATTAAGGGTGTGTTTGGGAGTTGGGTTCTGAAGGGGAGGGGAACGTTAATGGGGGCTTATGAGCCTCTTTTCATGTTTGGGAGTTTAAAAAATTGGAGGGGATGATTTTGGAGGGTTTTTGTAACCCTTCAAAACCCTCCAAATGCTTAATTTTTAAGTTCCCCCAATTTAAGGGGTTTTGGAGGATAATTAACAAGATGGTAATTTAAGCTAAATTAAAAATGAATATCAGCTCAATGATTTGAATTCGTCATATCTGAATGTGATTTTAATTATAAATCTTTCAAAACCCTTCTTTTCCAATGTTATTACTCCCAAATACAAAGAAGACTTCCTCACCCTCCCCTCCCTTTCCCCTCCAACAACATACCTCCAAAGCCTTCCCCTCCCCTTCCCTTCAAACTCCCAAACATACCCTAACTGTCGTATGGGAGAAGAAAGGCTGCACAGCAAGAGGCCACTACACCCTACTCTTTGGAAATCCAAAGGGGTAAGCCAGATTTGGAGAAGTAAAAATATTCATGATCGAATCGAAGACCACACTTGGACCTAATCACAACAAGTTTTTCTTAAGAGAGAATTGTCTAGTTGCAGATTTGTAGATCCATACCGCAGTAAATAAGGCAAAGAGGGCTGTTGTAGCCTTGTAGGAAATATTGTGGTGTGGTGAAAAAGGCATGGAAGGTGTGAAAATGTAGCATTGGGAGTCATGACTAGTGAGCATAAGGTAAATTTCAGAGATAAGTGGAAAATGAGGATATTAGTAGATGACCTCGGGAGAGATTTTGTTGTTACATTAGCAGACTTCGGCGATTTGGCCATTTGGGATAAAGGCTTGGTTGTTATTTGTTGATGATAAAGATGAAAGAAAATAAGAAAGAGATGAAGAACTTCAAAGTTTCAGTTGGGCCCACGGATTGGATCACTCTCTTGGGAGATGATGACTGTTGCGAGAGCAAGTCTGCTGCTCTTTCCGAGTAAGCTCGAGCTAACATTGAGGTAATGGAGGACTAGGGATGTTTTTACTTGGATTGTGATTTGCTGGTCTGGTCTGTTTAAGTCTGGTCTGGTAAATGCGGTTTCTTTGTATTTTATAACTACGGAAGTCTGGTACTCGGGTCTGGTCTGTTTAAGTATGGTCTGGTCTGGTCTGTTTAAGTCTGGTCTAGGACTAAAAACAGTCCAAGTAGAAACATACTTGATGGTTAATAATCTATTTTGACAATAAAAGAATTGAAACATTTATCTAGGGGTCCTCAGCAGGTATAACTCTAGCTTCGCTGACTAGGGCTTTGTAAAAATCTTAAAATTCGAATCCAATGAAAAATCCTGAAATAAACTTGTTTTAGAAGATAGCCTTTTAGGGTTATTTATTAATAAACTTACTTTGGATGCTATTGGGAATTAATTACACTTTTTAACTTAGGAAAATTGTATACATGACATTATTAGTTTTTGCAAATTGATGCACAAAACTGATTGCCTGCCAGCTGATGTGGTGGCCAGAGACGTTTGCCACGTAGATTGGCATATTGTTTGCATGCATGCAGGGCTATTCAGTTCTAGAAAAGCAAAGCAGTTGAAATTGTTGACCATTATTACACAAAGCAGAAGTACATTCTTCCCAACAATGTTCTGCAATGCCTTAACTTCCTGGGGCTTGGCTCACAAATTACGCAAACTATGGAATGTTGAGACATATGCCTTATTGGGATGAGGACATGAGGTATATGCCTTGAGGCATATGCAATGTATCTTTAAGAATGAATCTTTTATGTGAAATATTGAATATAAGACACATGTTTTATGTTAAACATTTGAAGTTCCTAAACAGCTAACAATCATACCCCATATCCACCATGTGCATATACAAGGTTGACCCCAAGCTTGAAGAAGTGGCTAAATTGTGTACTCATACAGTCTTATAGGTGAATCCTTTAGAATTAGCACATAGCACTTTTGAAATTATTCATTAACAGATAAAAACAACCTCACTAATCACAACCTCACTAATAGTATATAAGTGTATAACTACTACAAGGACCATCCACATAAACTTTTATAATTCAACTGATTCTTGGCATAGCTTGTCACATTACAAGAATAAACACATTTGGTCCTTCACTCTCCTATTCCTAACTTGAAAGGTCACTGGTCAGTGACATAACTTACTGAAATGTAGCTAGTCTTTGGCTTAGCTTGTAACCTAATAAATGAATCATTCTACAAGCATATCTATAAGAATGTAACTAGAAAAAACAGACTTTCCCCACCCTATTGACGATAAAAGGCATCAATTTACACACTACTAATATGGTCAAGACCCACCATCTTGTACTCTTGTACATGATCAGAGAGAATGAACATACACTTTTAGTTAGAATTTGCTGGGGTGTATGTGGTTGGTAGTCAATTCATAAAAGAGGATGACTTAAAATTTAAAAGGAAACTGAAAACAACAAAAAAAATGTGCAAAAGTGCTCTTTTCATATCTAGTTGTAATTTGTAAACTACTTTGAAAGAGGTAGGAAGATTAAGGCTTCAAGCATGTAATTATTACCTTTAGATGAAGGGCATTCTCTTCCATCTTTCCAATAGTATTCCCTTATGGACACTAGAGTCTTCCCTCTAAAATCAGTTATTGTCACCCTTCTCTTCTTATTCAACTACACCAAAGTAGAGGAAGCCATAAAGTTTGTTGAGCAATAAACACTTTTATACACATATACTCTACACGCAACTTCAATGATTTTTCGCATTAAAAAACAAAAGTTATGTGTTTGGATAAAACCAAATTAAACATTAAAAATGATTTTTGGCATTATAAGGCATGAAATGCAACATACACCAAACTTGGCATGCAAAAATATGCATCATTTGACAAACGATAATCCAACCGCTGGGTTCATACAGCTCATGGTCGACAATACGTATGAAGCAAGAAATTTTCTTGTGATGCAATGTTGAATCTCCAAATGTTTAAATTCATAAAATGTACAATAATCATTGCTGAACTGAAGCTGCAAATATGCACTAATATTTTTCAGTTCAATCAATTATAAGGTTAAGGCTAAAAATACAAATTTGGGAGGAATAAGGTAGTAATCCGATCCAATTGCTATATAGGACTAACTTACTCGGCAAATAATGAGGTCACCGTCCTCATCGTACTCCTTGCCTGATCCGTCGTCACCGCTGCCGACCTTTTTCTGGTCGGATTCTTCTTCTTCCTCCGCATCCTCTTCTTTCTTATCTTTCTCATGTTGTTCGGCGAGATATGACTCAACAACGCTGCGAACTAACTTCTTCCCTTCCAGGTCGGAGAGGTTTATACCTAGCTTTTCCGATGCTGATTGACGAACCTTGAACTCTGTCATGGTGTCCATGTCTGCGGAATTCAGGATTTCGAGAACTGTTTCAGAGATTCTGGTTCGAGTCTCGGAATCCATGTTTTCCTACTTGTTCTGTGCTCTTGCTGATTTTCTATTTCTGATGCAAGTGATCGAATGCCGCAGAACAATGTCTGTAGATGCTGAAGGCAACGTTTGATGGATTTTACGGAGTTTGTTTCCGCATAAGGCAACGTTTGGAGAGGGAAAGAAATAGCAAACTTTAACTATTCATATTTCTTTCTCCAAACTGTTTTTTCCCGGAATAATGGTAATTAAATAAATAAATCCCAAAATCAGCGGCGGAACCGACAATAATTTGAGGGGTGCTCTTATATTTGTTTTTTGAAAAACAATTTTTTATTAGGATAAAATAAAAACGAGTGAAAATAATTATTAATACATATAGTCTAAACAAGCAATAATGGAGAAAGCAAAAAAAAATTGTTGTTCCTGAGAATTGAACCCGAACCATTTAAGGTGGACAAAGCTCTCCCAACCTACATCCTACCATTTGAACTATCACAACTAATACATTCATATAACGACTCCACTTTAATATATGAATACTTTCTGAACCGGGGCTGAGATACACACACACACACACACACATATATATATATATATATATATATACAGAACCACCGCCGGAGAAGGGGGATCGCCGGCACCGGCTCGCCCCCCCTAGTTCCGCCACTGCCCAAAATATTGTTGGGTTTAAAATAATTCCCAAAATAATGTTTGGTTAACTGTGGTTAAGAGAAGAGCATAAAGTGCCTTCCCGATTGAAGAGAAGAGAAGTGGCAGCTCTTCTCTTACGACACATTGTGTACATATATAAAACGCAGTATGTTTCAAGAATTTGTTTAACTGTCTTCCCGGTTGAATTTTGAGTTGAAATTTGGTATGCATAAACTAGACTTGATGAGGAACATGCTCAAAACATTTCGTCAAAATATTCCACCGGGAAGACCCTCTCATGGTGTTGTCCGCAGGGGGTTCCGGTCAGGACATCATGACAAAAGGGTGGTCCGGCCACCTCAATTTTAGGTGGTTCCCGGTGGTATGTTTTCATAAATTTTTTTGGTATGTTCTTCATAAAGTCTAGTTCATACATACCACATTTGAGAAAAAAATCAATTAGAAAAGCCGTCAAATGATTTTTTAAAAATAACTGCGTCGGATTATACATATAAAACGCAATTATCTTTAAAAAATCATTTGACTGCTTTCCCGATTGAAATTGGTTCTTAAACTTGCTATGGATTAACTATCCTTGATGAATAACATACACACAAAAAAGTTAAGCAAAACATACCACCGGGAACCATTTCAAATTGAGTTGGCCGGACCACCCTTTTGTCATGACGTACTGACCGGAACCCCCGTGGACAACACCATCAAAGAGTTTTCACGGTGGAATTTTTTGATGAAATGTTTTGAGCATGTTCTTCATCAAGTCTAGTATATGCATACCAAATTTAAGCTCAAAATTCAATCGGTAAGGCAGTTAAACAAATTCTTAAAACATATTGCGTTTTATATATGTACAAAATGGACCGTAAGAGAAGAGTCGCTGCTTGGTGTGGCGACTTTTGTACGAGAAGAGAAGAACCGCCACTTCAAGTGGCTGCTTTTCTTAACCACGGTTAACCTAGCAGTATTTTGGGAATTATTTTAAACCTAACAGTATTTTGGGAATTATTTATTTAATTAGCATTATTCCGGGAAAAACTCTCGTATTAAAAACTCTCTTTATTTGCATTACACTTCAAAAATCCGAACAAAATAAATACCCCCTCCGGTCCTAAATAAAGTTCACACTTTCCTTTTTGGGTCGGTCCAAAATAAAGTTCACACTTCTTCTCCTTTCCTTATTTGGCAAATTATCTACATCAAAACAATGCAAAACAGTGTCAAACAGTGTCACAACAGTGTACTCTACAATAAAGTCAAATTTATTTCCTTAATTTGTATGAAGTCAAACAGTGAACTTTATTTAGGAGCAGAGGGAGTATATTTCTTTCCTGAGAAAATAGCCCTAAATAGAGATGAATGCACAAATAGGACTATGTTATTTATTTGGAAATATATTCTACCATTACCACAACTTAATAGGACAATCATATTTTAATTTGAAATAAATACAAAAAATAATAAAAATAATAATTTAACTTATATGAAAAATCGTAAAAAATATATAAAAAGTTCTAAAATATTTTTTAAAAAATACGAAAATAATAAAAATCAAAAAAATATTTTTTTAAAAAACAAATTAAAAACTTTAAAAATAAATAAAAAATAGGTAAAATACCTTAAAGAATATTAAAAAAAATATGGAGGCCTTTCCCACAGTGTCGATTATTGCCCAAGAACTTTATCTCTGATCGGCTAAAAAATGTCATTTTGTGTGAAAACTGCCTTTTTTCTCTGAAAATGCCAAAAATAATCTCGAAAAGTGCCATCAAGATGGCATCTCTGACACATGTTGGCATTTGTTTTTGGGTGATCGGAACTGGTGGTGCCGGGAGGCTTGCATTTTTTTTACATTATTTATTTATTTTATTTTTATTTCAAGATTTTTATTTTATAATTTTTTTTTCTCGAATTTTGTTATTTTTATTAATTTTAAATAATTTTTATTTCTTGTTTTTTATTTATTTTTTCATTTTTTTATTATAAATAAAGTTATGTTTATTGCTTTATATTTTAATTATTAATGAAATACTCGTATGAATTGTATTAAAACAAAGAAATGGTAGAATTGAAAAGCTAGTCCTATTTAGAGAATTTTTAAGTTATGGTCCTATTTTGGCAACTAAAGTTTCATTTAGTCATATTTGGGGAATTCGTCCTTCTTTCCTCTGTTTGTAATATATTTGCTTTTAATCTATTAAGTTTAGGGAAATTATGATCGACTATCTACAGGTTTGATGTATTATCGCCTACAATTTTGCATTATTAAAGATATGATCTTATTTCGATTCATATATTTTAATGACAGTTATATAACTTCTAATATACATTTAGAGAAAATTAATGTCCTGTAATTTTTTCGTTGTGTGAATGTGTCTCTTTTAGTCATGTAACTTTACTTACTTGCAGATATGGTCTGATAACTAATAAATTTATCCATATTAAGAATTTGTCCACGTGAACATACATTTTCTCATAGAAAATTTGACGTCGATGTCATCTATTCTAATACTCCCTCCATCCCGAAAAGGTTCTCCAAATTGACTTTTCTTGATCAATGATAATCAACTTTGACTAATGATATTCTTTAATACGAAATTATTTAGAATATGAAAGTTATATCAAAATGTTCCTTATTCATAATATTTTCATTAAAGTATAAAATTTATAAATTATACGTAGTATACAAATATAATACGTAAAATCATTGTCCAAAGTTCATCATCATTGATGATGAAAAGTCAATATGACGAACCTTTTTGGGACGGAGGTAGTATGTTTTTCGACTGAACGTGTACTTTCGTATGGAATACTCCCTTGCATGCAGGGGCGGAGCTAGGGGATGCCCAGGCTAGGCCCTGGTCCACCCCAAATTTAAAAAATGCCAATATTTTTAGTGTAAAAAATTTCGTGTAATTTTTTTTTCAATAATATTATTTGTACCGGCCCAGTCTGACCCAGTGCCCTAGCTCCGACCCTTCTTGCATGGACACATTTATCTGTTACACTATCATACTTACTTGCGAGTAAAGTTATAGGGATGTCGATGGCATTTTTGTTGTTTTAATCAGTAATTCTAGATAACGTCCATTTATGCTTTTAGAATATTTTTATAATTTTTTCATATCTAAAAGATATATTAGTGGATGAGTTTTAGGAGAATAAAACTCTTGTAATAATTTTACAACATTTGATCTTCAATCACACATATACTTTCATACTCTTAAAAGAAAGAGAGAAAAGGGTCAAATAAGGCCTTCTACTATTACGAAATAGTCACATAAAGTCATGTACTCAATAAAGTATCATAGAAGTACCTCTACTTATATAAAGCAATCAAATGAGTCCTAACGACTTATTTAACACCTCCTAATCCCAATTTTAGCTTATATATCGATTTTTTTGACTTGTATTCCAACCAATCTTAGTTAAATATTCGACATATGTCATATAATATATTCTAAAAAGATGGTCAGAAGTACGTTGAAACCGGGATTGTAGAAATCTTGTTGGAACAAACATCTCACTCGAGAGGTTCTTTATTAATACGTGAAAGAAGATTAAATGTTGTAAAATTATTACAAGAGTTTTAATCTCCAAAAACTCATCCACTAATATATCTTTTAGATATGATAAAATTATAAAATTATTCTAAAAGCATAAATGGACGTTATCTAGAATTACTGTTTAGTTAAACTCTTGTAAGTTTATTTTATATCTAAGCATATGTTGGTGAATGATTTTCAGGAGACTTGTATCGATTTTAAATTTATATGTGAAATACTTACTTTCATGGTTCATATTAAGGGTGGATAACGTTCCAGTCCCATGATTGGTTCAGGAAAGGCTGGTTTTCAATCAAGCCCGGACCGGGACTAAGAAATTAGGATCTTGGTCTTCACCAAGACTACACCGGTGAAGCACTACCGATGAGGATCCATTTAAAAGCTGACAAAGAAATTGAGAAGGGGGTGTACCGTACTACGGTCAAAAATATAAAAAAAAAATAAATAAGTAGGACTTACTCGGGAATAGAATCAGAAATATAGATCCCTTTACCAGGACTACAAACGGATTAAAACCGCACCGTGTCCATCACTAGCTAACATGTAAGAATTTTCATATTTTGTCAAATATTAATATACAAGTTACTATTACACATGTAATGATCTCATTTTTTGTGAGAACAAAGAGTATCTAAATTGAAATTTAGGGATGTTCGTTGGTTCGAATTGTTATAGTAAATTTGAAAATGGTGAAATCGAGAAAGGAAATATATTATTTGAGTCAGTTTTTGATTGGTCCATTTCAGTTTATTATCAACTTTAACGTGTTTTGGTCATTTTTTTGACAATTCAGTCTATTATCAAATCCAAATTCATAAAACAAACTACCTAGAGTGAGGATAATTTTTGTCATTTTCTATTTTATTCGGTTCGATTTCCAATGAAAAAGTTTTGAATATGGACAAACTTATGTAGTTGCGTGATCAAATATGTAACTAAATAAAATTACAACTTTAAAAGTGGATATAATAATCAAAAGATACTAGTTATAATTTTTTCTAAATGCAAATTAGAAGTTATATAATCTTTATTATATGACATGGAGGGGGGTTAATTATGCATATTTTTTATTGTGGAGGGGGTTAATACATCAATCTTCAAGGTGCCTGATAATTTTCTATTTAGTATAGGTAGTTTAAATTCATTCTTACTTTGTTTATAATTTAAAAATGTAATATAAAACACAATATTCTATTTTTTAATAATAGTGTCACTTTTTCGTGTGTGTGTCTTATTATAACGAAATTAATAATAATTAAATTGTCTTCTTTTTCTTATTTCCGTTTTCATAATATATGTCAAGTATAATGTCAATTATATTGTGATTGAGATGAAACTTGTATTGTTTCTCTGTGTGTGTTATCCTTTTGCTTAATGACAGGACCATGCTAATACTCGAACAAACTTTATCACAATATTTTATATCAATCCAAACTTGGAGTAACATTGTAACAATATTACTCCCTTCGTTCCTGATTGAACTTCAAAATTTTCTTTTTTGAGCGTTCCTAAGGGTGTGTTTGGGAGTTGGGTTCTGAAGGCGAGGGGAAGATTAATGAGGGCTTATGACCCTCTTTTTCATGTTTGGGAGTTTAAAAAATTGGAGGGGATGATTTTGGAGGGTTTTTGTAACCATTCAAAACCCTCCAAATGCTTAATTTTTAAGTTCCCCCAATTTGGAGGGTTTTGGAGGATAATTAACAAGATGGTAATTTAAGCTAAATTAAAAATGAATATCAGCTCAATGATTTGAATTCGTCATATCTGAACGTGATTTTAATTATAATTCTTTCAAAAACCCTTCTTTTTCAATGTTATTACTCCCAAATACAAAGAATGACTTCCTCACCCTCTCATCCCTTTCTCCTCCAACAACATACCTCCAAAGCCTACCCCTTCCATTCCCTTCAAACTCCCAAACATACCTTAAAAAAATACACTTTTCATTTTTAGTAAAGAATTTGTGATTTATAACAATTTTACACATTCTTACATATTTCTTTCTGATCTGCACAACTCTTTACAACACAATACTCACTATCTTAACCTACGTGACAAATGTACTTTGGAATTTAATTTAAGGACGAAGAGCATACAAAGGGTTAATATAACGAAAAATGATAACACTTGTTTAAAGTGTTACGAAAAGTAGAAAACCAATCTAATGTAATACTACGTACTTTGTAGTTTTCAATGTGTTGTTACATATACGTCAAAAGTATTAAATGTAGTCTAGTATTCTAATACACAATTGGACAATCTTTATAAGGGTTAATGATTTTCCATTTCAAATTGTCCCACATTAAATATCACCTTTGTGACTTCTCCGCCAAATCGAGGTCATCAATCATCATAATTTCATGGTAATCTCTAATCACATTCGTCTTCACTTTTTCTTCTTGTGAAGGTTCTATTTTAAAACCTTAAAAGTGTGTTTGGGAGTTGGGTTTTGGAGGGGAGGAGATTGTTAACAAGGGTTCATGACCCTCCCTTTCATGTTTGAGAATTTAAAAATATGAATTGGATGATTTTGGAGGGCTTTTGTAATCCTCCAAAACCCTTCCAATGCTCCATTTTCAAGTTCCTCCAAATTGGAGGATTTTGAAGGATAGTTAATTAAATGATAATTTTAGCTCAGATTTAAATCAATATATATTTAACTATTTGACTTCATCATATATGTGAAATGATTTTAATTATAACTCATTCACAACCTCTATTTTTTCAAATTTCTTACTCCCGAGTCCCAACCAAGAAGAAGGATCTTCTCCCGTTTCCTTCCCTAGGCCCTTCCAATGACTAACCTTCAAAATCTTCCTCTCTCATTCCCTTCAAACTCTCAAACATATCTAACAGGAATTGTGTTTCCTGACATTAAGTTTACGTTATTATATGGGTCTTCAATGTTCCCATTCTATTTTACTCAATTACTTTTAATCATTAGTTACATAATCACTCCAATTTCTTCATCATTTCTTTGACCAACGACAAAAAAATAAATTTCTCAATGTTAGGTTTTCAGTATTGTCACCTTGTCTGCCTTCGGGGATTTTCGAGCCATTCCTTGATCCTTACTCTCTTAATCATTACTCATTAGATACCTAATGACTATGATTTCCTCATCATTTCTTTGAAATTACAACAAAAATCAGAGCTAAAATAAAGCATTCAACGCAGCAGGGCCAAGAAATCTGTCAGCAATCAATTTTTAAGAATTTTTAAGGGAGAACTACCAAATAAGCCCTCGAACTTTCATAAAAAGTGCAAATAAACCCTTTAATAGGAGGTTCTATCTGGCCGTCGCCATTTGAGGCGGTTTCTGGTGAAATTTTTTGATGAAATTTTTTGAGCATCTTATTCATTAAGTCTAGTTTAATCATCCCACATTTCAACTAAAAATTCAAACGGGAAAGCAGTCAAATGAATTTTTGAAGATAACTGCACAGTTAGACAGCGCAGTATATTTCAGAAAATCATTTGACTGCCTTCTCGATTGAATTTTTAGTTGAAATTTGGTATGGGTAAACTAAACTTAATTAAGATGCTCAAAAAATTTCATAAAAACAATCCACCGAAAACCGCCTCAAATGGCAACCACCGGACAAAGCCTCCTATAAAAGGGCTTATTTGCATTTTTTTTGAAATTTCGAGGGTTTATTTGATAGTTCTCCCCAATTTTTAATGATACTACAAGTGCTAAGAGAACCAAACTGTTTAATTTTTTCTTTGAATGTTTTGTAATTGTTTTGTTTTACTTTGAAATTCCAAACCATATGCTATGGGTTACAGGACATGCAATACATAGCAGGACAATCTCCCTACAACTAGATCAGCTCATCAGCATACTATTATCATATCGCATTCTTCTTCACCTTATAATTTGTTCTTTTGATGGGGGTCTTTTTTCAAGTTTTGTAGTACACAGGAAAATGACAGACATATTGTGTGACATTATATCCCTATATAAAATAGTTGCCACAGTTAAATATGCACAGTAATTTCCACCTACACCCTAAGGACAAGTCCTGATTCCATTTGTCTCCTTCGGACTTTCCTCCATATCTTCTTGAAAAAATGGTGTTGGGTTTAATTAAATTATACTGAAGAATAATTTCCCTTGAATCTTGTTACAAAGTGCAGGTTTGCGATCCTTTCCACAAGACCAAAAAGCAATATTATATATCCAGAACAAGCAGAGACCAGAGACCCTCGTTTTTACAAGCAGGAATGCGTTTTTAAGGAAATTACTGCCACCTTTTGGAAAGTTTAGTTGTAGAAGAGCTTCCTGTAATCGCCTTTTTTGAACCTGGAGGGTAGAAAGAATAACCAATTCCATTAATACCTTTAAATGAAAAGTAAAGAAAAAATGATATTACAGCCAAAACGTGAAATACGAGAAATTGTATACTTGAAACTTTAGAGGCAGTTTTGCTCAATGACAACCGAGACAGCCGCGCAGCCGACTTTTCCGGCAATCTTGTGGGTTTCGTTGGAATGCTGGGCCTGAAATCACTTACCAACCAACATAATCAAGTGTCTTCATTTTGGTCAAGAAATCTTAGTAGTGTTAGTAGTGTCATACAGTTTTATCCGTGTTCTACTTGTAAAATAAGAGAAATTAGGCCTTTCACAATTCAGAGGCAAGAATATCTTGCCCACAAATATATTAGTTAAATAATGCAGAGAAATTCTCGAATAAGTCTAAAACTGAATGATTTCAAGAGAGCATCAATTTCTTTTAAAAAATTGCGCTAAATAGGAGTAAACAGGTTTATGAATTCCAAAATAGGATGTCATGTATTTTCCCAACTTGGCAAATACGGAGTATTACTCTTATTAAAGGAATAAAAACGTGGCAGCCCTATTTTGGAATTCCAAAACGTTTTTACTCATATATCGGGAATTTTCCCTTTCTTTTTTCCCACCATTACTCTTCTCCAACCTAAAATAGTAAATAGCATTTCAAAACACTAATATGGGTATTATATAGTCATATAACAACTCATATTACAGTACTTTTACTTCTTAATGTGTCCAAAGTCCAAACATTTAAAAACGAAAGTTATTAGAAAACAGAGTAAGAGAAAGACTTCGTAATCGGCTCAACCCATTGGTGGATAAAGATCAACTAAAATGAGCACTTACTTGTCAGCGATTTCCGAAGGAGTATTAGAAACTCCAGATAAAAACGAGTGCTCTATAATACTATTGATGGAATCCGCTTCTGTTCCCATAGAAAGAACACTATCAGAAATATCACTCAATCTTTCTTCAGAATCTCCGTCACCAAATCCTATGAGCTCCTTATCATCATCTTCTTCACCAAAATCTGGACCCGCAATCACCATACCTGACCTTGATTCTTGAAGGAATCCACTGTGATGCCTAAACTCATCCATTGACCGCTGAGAACCAGCTTCAGAAAGCCTATCACTGTTATACTCTGAACTATTTTCCGAAGCAGCTTTCTCAGAAAGTCTAGAACTTCGCTCTCCTTTGCTTTGTAGGACTCCCCCTATAGAATGACGTCCTGGAGATGGCGGCCCATTCCTTCGTGCATTAAGACCACGTCTCTCACCATTTGCAGCATTGGTTCTCCGTATCCTCAACCGTCCTATTTCCTCATCTTTCTTTGCAATTGTGCTCTTTAGAAAAGCCACCTGCATTCATCAGTGATAGAATGTACAGACAGCTCTATTCGGTTGATAATTTTTTACAATTTCCCATATTTTCGTGAATTTGGGGACAAAACAATATACTAGGTTATTTGCATTTTTCGCTTTCTGAAAATGGCTTCCTTTTTGAAAAAAGTAAGATCCTTTCATGCAAGACTCCCCCTGTTATTATGGCTTTAACTTGCGGTTAAACATTATAAATCATGTATAAAGCGGCAACTTATTTCCCAGCACAATTTTTTGTGTGCCATCAAAGAGGCTCAAAAGACTCAAACATTTCATGATTTTAAGGTTTAACAGTAACAGAATGGATAAATGGTGGAGAACTACTATGAGTATGTTTTGAGTGATTACAAGAAACGAATGCTTCTTATAAGATGATGATAAGTTTGTTTACTTTAAGTGCTTAAATGAAAGCGCTCTCAGTGCTCAAATGAGAAAGCACTTGCAAAATAATTCATCCAAATAAAGCTTTTTAAAAAGAAGCACTACATAAAAGCTTTTTAAAAAGAAAGCACTTTTAGTGCTTATTTGAGAAAGGACTTCTCAAAAAAACATTGCAGTATAATCCATTCCAAACAGACTCCAAGTCAAACCAAAGATGCATTTTGAAAACATTCAGGGTGAAAGTACCAAACAACATCAAAGCAGGGACAACTAAAGAAGGCCCTCCACTAACTACCTGATCCATTAGCTCTTTTACACCTCTTCCCTCCTTGTTACTCCTTGCAGCTCCTAGCTCAACTCCAGATACACGTTCAGCAAACTTTAGAGTACTTATAGTTTCAGAATAAGACTCCGCATCAGGATTTAACTGAACAAACATGAGTGTCTTTGCATGGCCACCTGATTAATAGTACCAACAAGGATAAAGTTGAAGTGAACCTCAGAAACAAATATTCAAAAAAATAATAATTCTGAAACAAATATAGCGCTACTGTGTTTGGTATCAAAAAATTAATTTACAGCCATATTACAAAAAAACAAATACCTAAAGAGCTTTGAAGAACTTGAGTCAGTTTACTATTTCTGTATGGTACATGAGAACTTTTATGCGCTAAAGCGAATATCACATCCCCCAATGCAGATAAAGATTTGTTTATGTGTTGTGCTTCCCGTAATCTATCCCCTGTGGCCTCGGACCTATCGATTCTTTCACTACCAGCAAGATCTACCAAATGTAGACAACCACGTAAAACCCCATCCGTCTCCAATTCCATCCCACGTACATGAACAGTAAGTACACTGTTTCATGTAAATGAAATTAACATCATGCCCCGGAAGAAAAAGAGTTCAAGCAAAATATATATTAAAATGATCATTAGAAAGGTACCTGTGGGACCGACTGCTTCTTTCGTTGAGAGCAGTAGCACCAACAGCTCTATTCATTAAACCAATTTTCATCAATTCTAAAACATCTGTCGTTGATTTAACAGGATGCATGCTAGCATCAGGGACAGCTAACCCATTTGGTTGGGTAGTATTCCAGATCCCAAGCGTGTTGCAAGTTAAAGAAAACATTCATAAAGAGGTAACTATAAAAACATGCATTTTTAGAGGTTTAATTTAGCCAACACTCGGAGTTCATGGGCTAAAAAATGAGTTCGGCAGTGAAATGTGTGTATGTGACTGCGAGCATAAAAAAGGGCAGCTCAGTGCACATTGGCTTCCCCACAAGGAGAGGGTCCAGGAAAGGGTCCGTCCATGAATGTGTATAAGGAGCAAGTCTTCCCTTGTCATTTTTTACAAGAGGCTGCTCCCAAGACTTGAACATATGACCTCTCGATCACACATCAAAACCTTCACTGATAAGGAGCAAGTCTTCCCATCATACGTGACTATGAGCATGTCTGAATAAAATAAATCTACAGCATCCAAAATAAATAGGTAAAGACATAAATTTCCATTCATAGTAATGACAAAAGCAGTTTGGAAATCCAAACTAGAAACACTGGAAGGATATCTTTTCTGGGTACTTTCGGTGGAGAGCAAGTCACGAACTTGTTCATTATATATTTCAACCATTTGAACACCAACTTCATATGCTATAGAGCTTTTTCTGCTTTGAGAAATGAGGAATAGATCATTCAAAGCTCGGTAGTTCACACCCCAATCCTCCATAGATGACATGTTGGGTCCACTCTAATGAAACAAAAAATAGAGTCAGGCTGGTAATGTGTAAACAACCACCTACTACTGGTTGAATACATGTTCAAACAAATGGCATTACCATAGTATATGTTTTCCCAGAACCAGTCTGGCCATAGGCAAAGATGCATACATTGTACCCATCAAGAACAGATCTGATTAAAGGTTGGGTGTCTCGAAATACATCCTCTGTAATACAATTCAGTAAATAAAATGAAAAGAACACACATATTGTTTGTTTGACATTTTTTTCTTGATGTAAAGTGCTTCTAGAAATCAGAATTGGTTAAAAATTGCTGAACTACTTAAGTAGAATCAGAAACCTTGAGTAGCAGTAGGAGAAAAGACTTTGTTGAATTTGAAGACACGGTGGTTGTCTTTTCCTTGCTTCAAAGGATTCACAACAACCAGTTCTCCATTATCACCAATGTAGTCCATAGTTGTTCTTATCTGGCTTTGGTTTGGCAAGAATGGCCGTATTCGGCAGTATACTCTGATGTTCCCTAAAATCACAAAGAAGTTAAAGCCATCTTAAACCCTTTCTGTATAAAACAAATTGAGTGAGTCAGTGATTGTGCGCGCGTATTTGTTTCATGGCATTAACCTTTCAAGTCTTGCACCTCATTGTATAGTCTTCTATTCTCGTCAAGCACTGTATGGTAATTCTGAGCAGCTTCTATTAACCCGTTGAGATCTAGTCCTGATATAAAATAATAGTTTTATGACATTAGTCAGTTCCGAAAGATGTCATTAAGCATCCACAAGTTACTAATGATCATAAGTTAGTCAACATTCTAACCAAAGCGGTTTAGTTCTTCAGCATAGATCTTCTTGGTCTGAAAAACTTCCTGCTTCAAGGACTCAGATGCCACTCTCAGTGCCTGATACAAATCTTCACTGAGATGTAGGCATGATAGTTACTTAGTAATGATAAGGCATAAGATTAAAGATTAATGGAAACCTGTAAAGATCTAAACTGAGATTCTGTGAAGACTTTATAGCCATGTTCTTTCTTTTGCCATGTCAGAAACTTTGATTCTGAAAAGGCTTCAAGCTCTTCCACCTTCTTCCTTGAATCACTCAGAAGACACTCAAGTTCCATTATCTTCTTCCCTAATTCAATTCTAGTTTTATCTGTTTGTGATTCTAGCTGCAAACATTTCTCTTCATGTTTCTTTTTGGTTAGCTCCAAATCATGGTTTAATGAAGAAATCTTCATCTCATAATTATCTTTATCTTTCTTAAAATCACTGATTTCTTGCTGTCTACGTTTGTCTTTCTCCTCAAAGTCAACCTTCTCAATCTGTAGTACAAAAATAAAGTGGAGTATCAATGGAAGCCCATCCAGCCTATGCAAAAAAAAAATATCTTTATACATGGTAAGCTAGCTGTAATAACTAAAAATTACACAAGAATGAAGTCAATGAACCAATCAAATAGATTAAGAAAGTACATTCTAAGTGCACACAATGAAATTAAAAGTTATGCAGCATTCATGTTCATGATTAATAATACCTCGTGTTCTTCGGCAGTTCCTGTTCTAAGGGTCTCCAAAACCCTTTCTCTTAATTGATACTTTACTTCATGAGACTTGTAGAGGCTATTTTGCTGTATGTGAGAGTTGTCAATAATTAATAGATCAGTAGAGCTGATTCTGTATTCCAAGACTAAATGATTAATTGTCCAAAGCACACATACCTTTTTCAAATTTTCCGATTGTTTTGAAACCCGATGCTCAATTTCTTGCAGAACTAGCTTTAGCAGCGATGTTGCAGACTGAAAATATAGGCGAAACAAGTTTGGTGAGTGATTTAACTTGTAAAATGATCTCCCTCACTCCCACACACAAATTTAACTGGGAAACCAATGTGCTTTACCATACCTGAGGAATATCTCCATTCTTTCTCTCTATGTTTTCATCTAGAATGTAATTCACAGCACTGAATAATGACCGGGAAGAGGAATTCTGAACATTGAAAACAGTAGAGATAAGAGCAATATATCATTAAAACAGTAGACATATCATTAAATACACAAATTGATTTGAGAAATCATAAAACAGGAAATATAGGGCCTTTCAAGATTGTTGCAAGAAACATTAGGCAGTGAATAAGGACTGGGGACTAATCCTGGCCTAGGGAGGTATTTTTACACCAATGCATTTAAGTATTTACTCCAAATCCTAACATACCTCCAAACTCTTTAGCTTCATCAACTCCGAGATCTTGTGCGCTGGAATGTCTGCACATCCAACCTTCAAGTGGAGTACATCAGGGATACTACTCACGGCGTGATTATTTGATGCAGATAGTTCTAAGAGAAAACAAAAACAAACAAGTAAGAAAAGTATACTACAGACAGTTGCACAACATTTTAACAGAAACCAACATTTACCAACTTAACTTGGTATAAGTCACTCCATTGCAAAGACAAGGTGTCATTTGGTATAATTTTTCTGTCTTCTTTTTCCAAAGACTAAAACAAGATACTTCCTCTGTATTTATTGTTTGCTACAATAGGGTTTGGCACAATATTTAAGGGAAAAATAGTAGGCATAGTGAATAGTGTAGAAAATGTAGGAGAGAAGGTGGAAAAGTATATAGTAGAATATGAAAAGTAGAAAAAGTAAAGGTAATTGAGTATTTTTAAAGGAAAAAATTACCAAAAAGGGGAAGTGTAGCAAACAAAAAAACTTCCCAAAATGGAAAGTGCAGCAAACGAAAGAATACGGTGGTATTGTGTTTCCCAACATTCTATGAATATTATTTGAAACAAGAACTACTGTATCATTTTTCAAAAAAAAAATGACACTCATTATAAGACTTAGAACTTTATAGAAAGTACTACTAAAAGTTTGACAACTTTGAACTTTTGGTCAAATGTGTACAACTTTGGCCAAAAATATACTCCCTCCGTCCCATAAAATAGTTCCCACTAGGATTTGGATCGGAGTTTAAGAAAGTGGGAATAAAGTGGAAATGTATGGTTGTGGTCGAGTAAGAAAAAGGTAAATGAATGATAGCCACACAAAACTTTCCAAAAAGGGAAATGGGAACTATTTTTGAGATGGCCCAAAAGGGAAACTGGGAACTATTTTGCGGGACGGATGGAGTATTTGATACAAAAAGATACTACGTATATAACATGAAAGTAATATATAAATGTTCATTGTTACAAACACCCTCATTAAATTAGAAATAAAAATTATTAATTTCACAAAAGTATGCTCCATATTGACTAAATAAATTTTGAAGCAGAAAAAGTTTGACCATAGAAGGATAAATTGACAAACCTTTTAGTAACAGAGGAATATATTTCGTTGTAAATAATACCTCATACAAATTATGTATCCAAAACAGATATACCAGAGTACCAAGAGTGTTATATCTTGTACAAATTTGAAAACATACAAAAAACAATTTAAAAACAGAAAGCAGGAAATGTTACCAAATAAACTGTACACAGAAACTGCAAAAGCCACACACTATTTTACCTGTGGCCATATTACTGAAGCAATCTATCTGCTCAGAAGCATTAAAGTTACAAAATGCATTGAAGTTGGCTTGTTCTCCTTTTTCAGCCACAGGCAATTCTGACTCTATATTCATGATGAACTTGATATCTTTGGATACTGAGATGGAATACTAGTATTCTACAAGTTAACCATCCACCAAATGCTCATCAGTCAACAAGAACCTAAATAAACTCAAAAAAAATGAATTTTATTTCACAGGTTATAGACATTAATTGATGTTGATGAGTTGATCTTGAGACAGATTCATGAACATAAAGTCAAAATGGAGTAATATACATATGTACTACTACCTCCGCCCCCCTAAGTTTGGGACAAAGGGGTGTGGTGTGGTTTTTAAGAAAAAGTAGAATTGTGTGGTTGGTATTGAATTGATAAAGTGTGAATAAAGTAAGAATGAATTCTAACCACTCAAATATTACCAAATATGGTATGAGACAAACTTAATGGGACGAATGAAAAAGGTAAAACGAGACAAAGTTAGGGGGACGGAGGGAGTATGTAATTGACAATATCAGCAACACATCATCTATAAATGGTTTTTCAATATGATATTGTATATGAAACAAGAATTCAAATATCAACTACATTGCTTAAAAAGTAAAGAACAGGATGAGCTTCCAATAACGAGGACTATCAATTCTAGGTATTGACGTGTTGTGTTACAATTGCATGTAGCTTGAACAAAAAATATAGATTTTCTCGAGTTGAATAAGTCACTATTTGGAAAGACTTTAGAAATTTCTAGGCCCTCAAATCCAGATCACGCCACCACATAATCATCATATATGTGTATTTGGAAAACAAAACTTTCACTGAAAAGAGTAGAAGCTTTTATCTGATCAAACCTAAGCAGTTATTGGCTTACTGCTACTCGGTGGCAACTGAGTCAAGGGCCGAGTAGCGAGTACCCGAGTAGGACCGGTTCTAGTAATATATTAGTCTTATAATTCTTAAATATGAATAAAATGAAAATAATCCTAAAAATGAAGTACGAAGAAATCCCAACAATCATAAATGTTCTAACTTCCAAGAAAATCAATCACCCTAATTGTAATCTTATTATTTCAATTTTTTAAATATCTATTAATGATTCATGAACTAGCATCTTCCAAGCACAATGCGCAAGAGACAATATCCAACAATACAATTCGATCATTACCAATGTTCAATGTTAAATTATACGGGCACGACCGCATTAGACGATATGTACATTAATGTTCTAAAAGGCGCAAGGCGCTAGGCAGGCGCCAGCCCAGTACCTAGCGCCTAGACGCTAAGCGAGCGCCAGCCCAGTGCCTAGCGCCTACGCGGCTAGGCAGGCACTTAAGCGGGGACTAGTGGGAGACACATAAATTGTATTTTTATCACTATTTTTGCATAAATATGATAAGTACTCCCTCCATCCCCCTATAATTGTCCCATTTTTTCGTTTTTGGGCGTCCCACTATTATTCTCCCATAGCTTATTTGGAAAGTAAAAAGTAAATTTAATGAGGGAGTAATAGGGATCTACATTAGTATGGTTAGTTTTTTGCTTTTTGATTGGTTACTTTTTTTAAAAGTTGCTTTTGTCTTGGTTGGCGTGTCACTCCCTTCCGTCCCAATAATAGGGGGACGGAGGGTAATACATATTACATAGGAAAACGATAGTATCGTGTTTGTGTGTGTATGAAAGATATATACACACACATTAACATGCATGAATGATAGAATTGTCACATGCAATAATATATGATAACTAATCACTTAGGTGCATTATGTTATAAATACTAAACAATAATAAAATTTAAGTATATATACTACCATATATAGTTTTTATCTTAATTTACAAGTATCTTTCTTCATTTTTGTGATTAAAGTTAAAGGTACACATATCTCTTACAAAAAGAAAATTAAAAATAAAAAGTTGTTCGACGAATCTTGGCACCCTAAGTTGCGATTAGGCGCTCTAGGCGGGCAATTACACCCTAGGCGGCCGACTAATTCACTTAGGTGCCAAATCAATTAGGGAGGGACTATTCAGGCGCCTAGAGAAAATCTTAGAACAGTGAGTACATATAGTCATGAACCTTTTCACGCCTCAAGTTTAACACAACTTCAAGCATGGGTCACCCAATGAAAATATCTTGATCTTCTTGTCAATTATTCCTTGTTATGGTGTATTGGTGTATGAGGTTGCTAGTCACTAGATATAGTAAACATCTTCCATTAACATTGGTCTTTGAACTAATGACGATTGTTGAAGATTCCATATCTACCATAAGTCCATAATTAATTAGCTAAAATGTCTAATAAAAAAACATAAAGAAGGCTAGGCTTAATTTAATTTGCTGACAAGAAAATTGCCTCTGGCAAAAAATTATTGGTTTTTGGAATTAAAAAAAAAACTTACTGGCTGGCGCAGACCACACTATAGGACTACCATCTTATTTTGTGTGGCAGATCCGGACTTCTCCGCTTCGGTAGCCTACTAGGTAACAACGCATCTGGGCGGTCTCTATCCTCTGTTTCTAGCAGCAAAAAGCCGAAATGTACGGCGAGCAACGATGGTGGCTAGCAGCGCCGACGAGGTTGGACGAACAGCGTGAGACTGCTAGCTTCTAATGGCAGCGAGCGACCCTCTAGAGGCGGCACCTTTCAGCGACAGATCCAGCGGCGGCGCGGATGCCAATGATCTAAGATAGAGGAGATTAAAGATCTGGAAGCTCGCCGCTGGCCCACCGGAGATCTGGACTTTGGATTCAGATCTGAATTTCAAATCGGAGATGAAATCGACGTTCCAGCTCCTGCACCAGATATAGCCCACCTGAAAAGGTGCCGTTCCCTGGCAAGGAAACGCCGGAACGATGGATGACGGGAGTCACAATACTCGTCTTAGCAGCAGACTCTGAGGTGAGGACGCCCACGGAAGAGTGGGTTTGCAGCCACGGAAGGAAAAGACAAAAAAAATGTCCGTTGGATTAAAGTTTTCGGGAGTTTTTACAAGAAGTAATTGTAAAACTTGTTTTCAAACTAGAGCCTATAGATAAATAAATAAATAAATAAATAAATAAATAAATAAATAAATAAATAAATAAATTAAATAAATAAATATGGATTGAAAACATATAACAAATGAGCACTGTAACCGATTGGTTTTCCTCCTAATACAAAGTTGAAAGGTCCTGAATTTAGTGTCAAACTTTATACTCCCTTCGTCCATTTTGATTTAGTCAAACACTATTTTAACTGGTCTGAACTGGTCTGATCTGATTTGGTCTGGTCTGATCTTGTGTGGGACGAATTACAATTCTTATTTCGAAAGCAATTGGTATGTGGCAAATTAAGACATTTAACGGGAGGGGGCGAGTGTCCGAGACTCCATAAACTCTATCAAAATGGAGTTGGCATTGTAAAAAACCTTTTTACATAAAATTGCACTGCTAGAGTTTTACACCCATCACAGCTTGTAAGCTACAAAAATTTTATTAGTAGGTTAAAATCTCACTTTTATATGATTGTAGATATTCCACTTTAGCCGAGATCTTTGAAGCTACAAATTATAACTTGTCTAATAATTTATCAATATAAAATTATGAATACACTGTTTATGAAGAAAATTGCTAAAACATTTCATGTCCTCTTCTATATTACTACAAATTATTGTTGTTATTGTTATTACATAAGAACGAAAATTTATTACTAAATTTGATGTCTCACCTTATATAATTAGATCAACATTTCAACGGAAAGTTTGAAGTGAAAATTTGTAACAATCTATTTACTATATTACATAAAGATTACTACGTAATACTTTCTCTGTATCAAATATAAACTTCTACATGTTTAGGAGTATTTATTTCAACTAACTATGCTCCTTACATAGTAATTTTTCCTTCTTTTATGGAATGTGTATACTCATTATCACAATATACATAAGTGGGCTAGAAGTGTATTGACCTGCTAAATTATAGAGTTGACCATTTTTAGTTTAAAAACTTAATTTTGAGTGTCTTTTAAATTCAAAGACTTAAATGGCTTTTTTGACATATTATAAGAGTCTATTTAACCGTTTTCCCTTTAAGAATCAATCAAAAACCGTTTTGAGTGTCTAGGACCTCCAAATTTCAAAATAAGCCTATTAGTATTCTATGCATTTTTAATATAATTGTGAATTTGTAATTAAATATCAAATTATCAATTCCCAGATGAAAAAAAAATCTATCGATGGACGTCCCTACGAGTACGATGGTCAACGAACCAGTGGAATTCACCGACTAGGATTTGGTTTTAGTTTTTAATTAGGTCTTCAAGCAGTGAGGTAGACATAGAGGGACAAACTTCAGAGACCAGAGTTGAGTCACCAGCAGTTCTAACCCCTTTACGATCGCCCTTCGACAAGACGGTAAATTATTTGCGAGTCGTAGATACTGAGACACAAATGAACATTACTGCACTTTTAGTGAGCATTGGACATGTTCTGTTGAGTATTAGAAGTTAATATTGAGCATCGTGATTTCTGCTTCATATCTTATAATTCACTTTCTTTTTCTTATTTTTTCTTTTACAAAAACTTATTAAATTATATCTATAATCAACTCCTATGAATTTCAATATGCGAATCTAATGTAATTTGGTACTTTTGAAATATGCATTGATATGACATTTTAAAAATGATCATAACATCAGAATCAAATGAGTATACGTAACTTACAAATTAAAATGAGTATTGATATGAAAATCGTAAGTTTTGTTAGTTGAGCATCAAGACATTTTCATTAAGTAGCAAACCTCCTCTATTGAGTATTAGAATCATGCAATTGAGTATCGTGATCAGTGCTCTCGTATCAATAATGAACTTCTATGTGAATTTAATGTAATATGTGGCACTTTGTGATATGGCATTTTAAAATGATCATAACATCGGTACCAAATGAGCATACATAACTTACAAAATGAGTATCGAAAAATTCAAAAACTCTTGTGTGCATGTTCATTCCTTTTAGGAGTTATATTCTTTGAGTTTAACATAGAACTATTTTTAATATGTTCAATATTCATTTGTGTATGTTCATTCCTTTTACACATTATACTCAGTTGAGTTTAACGTAAAACTCATTTCTATAATATGCAGACGTAATAGATTAATTTTAAAAGAAACTGTCGATTTCTTGCGAACATATTTTCATTTGAATATGTTGTAAAGCTCATTTTTGTACTGCTTTGGAAGTAGTAAAAATTATTCAAATCTTATTTGAATATATATTCATTTGAATATGTTGTAAAGCTCATTTTTGTACTGATTTGGAAGTAGTAAAAATTATTCAAATCAAATCAAATCAAAGAACTACTACGTACTATGCAAAATAAATGATACGGAGTCAATACTTTATTCAAGTGTAGCAAAGAATAATTAAAATTCGCTCAAGAAATGAACGAAAGTTCACTTTGGAAATTTTACTAAGAGTCGGTGAGCATCCATGTTTAGAAGATAATAAATTTTAATGAAAATAGTATGTCATTATTAGTGAAAGAAAGAGATGGAGATGTTTCTGTGAGATTATCATTCCTTTTAATGTTTTGAGAATTCAATTGACTCAATTTTGAGAAGAAATTGATAATCATTGAAATAAAGAAAAACATGGAAAAGACATGTGCAATGTGCAGGTCCGCAACATGAATACTTAACGGGAGAGAAAACAGGGAAGTCAAATGCATCCATCACAATTAGACTAAAACTTGTAAAGAATTACAAATTTACCTGGTTGTACCACATGGTACAAGTACAACCGAGTGTACAATATAATTTGCTTAGGTCTTCTAATTCTTTTGAAAATTTGACTAATTGATTACTTATTTGCATCTTTTAGTTCCAAATATGTTGTAACTGCATATATAACTATATGACTATAAATTACTGATTTATAATTTATTCATTAATTAACTCAAATAACTCAATAACTCAATTAGGTGTTTTCATTAATCAATTGTTAATTGATTATAATTATTACTTTTCTCAAAATTGAAGTTGATAAAAATCATCTCAGTTCAACCACGTCTAAAGATTTTTTTTGAAAATCAAATAACTAAATTATTATTAAAAGATTGTAAATATACAAGAGAATGAATAGCATAAGGCTACAATGGGATGAGACATAGAACAAATAAGATCCAACGAATCCTTCTAGATCGCTAACCCCGCAATAATGTAGTCTAGTCTAACAGCCTGATTGCTTTTCTTGCTACTCCAAAGAGAAAAAAATAAAAAATTACAACTAAAAGATCTGGCTTCACCAGCCACCAGAAAGAGGGAATTGTTTTGACCAGTAACCAACAAAGGAAACTCAATTGAGCAAAAATTTTCTGGATCATCAATTTGAGCAGTCACCGAAAAAGAGATCCAGTTAAGCACTATCTTTTTCTTTGAGTGAGGCGGTGGCCCAGGAGGAGGGCGAATAATTGAAGCTTCAGCAAAACTAGGTTGAATTTGTCTTGCCAACCATGAATAATGAACCACTCGATCGGTTACACCGACGAGGAAGATAAAGACATTGCTAGGAGAACAAAACACACACTCACCTTAAGCGGATATAACTATCGGCCAAAGAAAATGTCGGGTCAAAACCACAACTCTAGAAGATAGAAATAAAAAAAGAGAGACAACATAGCAAAACTTTTTATTCATTATTGTTCGTAGAACATCCCAATCATCAAAACTGTTGCCAATCTTGTATACTCCACAAACTAATTGAACAGATTCATCAACGGCCTAGATCCACCATGTGGTGCTAGGTTTTTTTACTTCTCCATATGTGTTGTTATGCGGATTTTAAATTGGGGATATGTGGAGTATTAGTTATGACTTGTGATGAGTAACTTATGAAGACCGATAGTTATGTAAAACAATCAACATAACATACATTAACCACGTCTCAAGATAGACTATCTGATTTGACTATGCACTAGATTGGAAAAAATGTTAGCTAAATTTGTCTGGGAGTGGTGTTCTTACGAACTTTGCTCTTCAAAAAAATAAGAGAATAGGCTATTAGAATATCGATGTCTTTTTATCAATTTTGGATCTTTTGCTTTTGAAGAATATTCTCATTACATAAATAGTATATATAACGCATTTCATGTATAGTTTACTTCTATACAATGGATATTCTATTTTTCATATTATGTTTAATTAACTTATTCAAACAAAATGTCTATATGACCGTGTAGGGTCTCATAAATGATGTAGACGGCCCTGATAGGAGTAAAAGTAATTTGGAATTCTGAAATAAGAACACTTCTTTTTTACTCCCGGAATATGTGTTTATTACTATTATGCTTGGAAAATGCTCCAAGTATGGCACCAGTACTGTCGTACTAAATATTAATAATGTGTGAATATGATAAATTTTCAGGATAGCAGTAAGTTACTTCTATTAAGTGAAAAACCATAGCGTTCTTAATTTAAAATCTCACATTATGTTTACTCGTATTTCGAGAATCTCTTCCTTCTTTTACATTTTTTTTCACTTCATTCTTTATGGATACCCTTCCCTCAACAATTCTTTCTAACCTAACACTATAAGATATTGATCTTAAAGCAATATGTAAATACACCTTCTAGCTTAACAATCTGAAGACATATTTCGAAGGATGAAATAGGTCTATAACCCATTTGTGACCTAGTTTTTCAGCTTATAAATCAGTTTTTTCATCAAATACTAAATATTTCATTCAAGGAGCTCGACTATGCAATAATCAAATAAGTAGAACTGAGTTGTGACTTAGTTGACTGATGTTATTGAAGATGACTATTTAAGTACTTTTCATATTTTTTTTAATAAGATATGTATTTGAAATAAAATTTCATAAATTTCAGCAACGTTACCACAAACAAGCTCCTAAACTCAATTGGTTCTCTTTGCGCAGATTAACCCTGATTTAGTTGTTCAAGAACTATATCTTGAATGGAGTAATGAGATCAGTAGTTTTTGTTGCTCAAACAATACATTATACATACACCAAGCCTTTGCAGAAAAGAACAAATGCCATACATGAGAATTAAGAAATGCTATACTGCAAACCAAAAAATTGTTGTACTTAGTAACATAAATTTCATAACAAGCTTGGTAAACAAAGCCATTATTCATATAATATATACCTAAAGGGATAATCCTCAATAGTGTATCACAACAACAAGTATGAGAATATGTTTTTTGAATTATGATATCAAGCATGATATTTTTTATGATGATAATGATTCCTAGCTCTAACTCTATGTCACATCTGGTTTACAAGGAGAGTTTCTAAAACATATAGTTCGAATCTATGTTCTACAGCAGTGTAATGAATATAGTCATAGTGCTACTAACAAGTATCAAAATCCAACCTCGACCTGTCCTTAAAATTTTGTCAGACATAGGTGATCCAAACAATGTCAAGACCATCTCTGAAACAATCTTAAAAAGAGCAATACAGGCAAAAGAGAAGTTCACTGTAAGCACAGCAAGCTCTTTCTTTTCCAAACTTGCTTGATCATTAACAACCTTTTCTACATCTGATCTGTAGATGATAAGATAGGAAAAGGATAAGACAAGATCATTTATCTTAAATAAATATCTTAGTATACGCAATAACTCGGTGATACTATTATGCAATCAATTCGGAAATAAATTACTTTTGGATACACAAAACTCATCATGTTGATATAAAAGTAAAGTTCTTCCACCACCGCCAAGTATAAATATAGAAACTCTCATACAAACCTTAATCTTAATGTACTTCACCTATCAAGATTGACCTTTAGAAATAAAAACTCAAGACTAGTGGTATTGAAGCAAATTAAGGTCAGGAGAGAAATCAGTTTGACTAAAACTCAAATAAATCACATGATATAAATATCAACTCTCTGTTCTTCTTTAGGTATATTAACAGTTTTCATGATTGATTTGCTCTGTTGTACTATTAATAGACAACTCCTCAATTAGGTATTCAAGTTGATCTTTTAGGATTGAAGCACAAGTCCTAAGGTTAGGGAGAGGTCATTTCATATCTCATTTGCTAAATTCTAAAAAACTAGTGTCGTTTTTGTTTTATGGAGTTGGTATTGTTCATTCATTCCCCCTATTTCGTTCAAGTTTACTAGCAATTTTCTTAAGGGCTAATGATTGAACTTTGAATTCATTCACAAACATTTTAGAAAGAGCAACAAAAAACTAAGAGATTCAGATTAAAAGTTGGATAGTTGTAAAAACTTTTACCTTAACATGCCATTTTCCTTGACCAATAAATCCACTTGAGTTGAAATAGAGGTTTTCCATGTCTCGATGTCAGTTACTCCTTTTGCCTAAGGATGAAAATGATCCATAAATGAGACTAAAACATAACACATTTCTATAAATTGGATCGTAATTTTTTTCCCTATTAATGGGATCCACCAATCCAAAAAAATTGTTAACTGCTTTTGGTCTCTTGTAAGACTACATGAATCCTATTTTTAGTAGGAAACAAAGATGATCATATTTGTACACATAACACACGGTTCCCTCTTATTTGTGGTAATTCTTTAAAAAAGAATTTTGCATATCAAGAACTATGAGAGCATACATGCTTTCTTCAAACAAACAATTACATAATATATATTATACACTAGTCACTCTCTACCAAAATATTTAGATGATTCCATACATATTAAGGTTCCCTATATATTGACCACATGTACTTACTTAAGTCTAGTAATAAATGCATTTTTTCTCCTTACACATATTTTGTATTGCTTACAAGAAGAGTAAATATGGTGGAAAATAAATGTATGTGATCTCTTTAATTCCTATAATGACAACTATTTGGTATTTATCATTAAATACCAGTAGTAAGATACCCATTGGATTGAAGTGTTAAATTTTAAATTTTGGACAAAAGTGCTTCCAACACAATTACGAAGAGTCAGTGGCTCGTTACTGGTGGGGTAACTACATTGATCGTTGTTCATTTTCAAAATTGGTAACTACGTTAGCCACAATTTAGTCCTATAATTAAGATTTCTACCCAATGGTAGTAATAGTTAAGGATTTTTCCTAGTTTTTTAATCAAACCTTTGTGGCTAGAAAGAGAGCTGTTTCCCAAGAAGCAAGTAGTACATACCATTATCTCCTTCCACTCCAATAGAGTTTTGATCTCCAGTTGATTTTTCTCCAGTAGCATTGAAAGTTGAGACATCTCTTTATCAAGCTGAGGCACAAACTCTCCTTGTCTCTTATTCAGTTTTTTTATGTACTCCTCCAGCACAGATAAGTTCAGCTCAAGTGATCTCACCTTTTGCAACAATATCTTGAGGACAACATCGCCATGAATTCTGCTATTTAGTGATTGCCTAACCTTCCCAGGATCGGGAACAGTGTTCACATTCAATGTCTTCTTTAACATATCCACTTTAGGCATTTTCCCTTCATCCGCATGTTCTACTCCCTTATTGGCAGACTCAATCACACGGCGGCCATCATCTTTACTTTTTTGTTTAGCTGACCCCGGTTCTGGTGTTAAAGAAGGTAATGCAGTGGAATTAGGATCATGCAATTTATTTGTCGAAGGCTCTCCTGAAGTGACAATAAGATCCTCTAGCATTTGTTCTATTGCATCTACACCGTACACCTCCACAACGCTGATCGTGCAGTAAAACTCAGACCCATAATGGCTGCGCAAATTCAATTTCAAGTACCTAACCCACTTCGGTTGAGGAAGCTTAAAGCATTGCAAATGCTTAACATTTTCAGCAACAAAAGTACCTAATGGTTCCCATGCCTCACTTGGATATGTCAAACTTCCCAATAACTCAAACTCCTTTAAATTGGATGAGTAGTGTTCAAAGTTGGCGATTTTTATAACGTCAACCAAAGTTTCATGTGCAAGTTCAATGACGACAAATTTCCCACTGACGGAACATGGATTTCTTAGATACTTATCATGATCCTTCCCCAAGACATTGTCTGCGCCCTTTGCTTCCTTATTATGAGCCACGACTTTAGCACCCTTGGATGATGAGGCATAATTGTACGGCGTTCCATCAGGCTCAAGCCTATGTGTGATATTGCCACCTAGTGGGTTGGGTGTGTCCCACCCCATTGCCTGCTTTGTGATGTTTCTCAACTCATCAAGATCAGGATCTGTTAACTGACTTCTACCACTTGGAGGATTTTCTGGTGTGCTCCCATCATGAGGTCCTCCCAGATCACACATTAATGCAGTGTAACCCAAGACACTTGATATAACATCTTCTACTCCACTTGTCCCCTGAAGTGAAGATTCACTGCTTGAATTGTCTGAGGTCGGTTCTTTGATAATCATGGTTACATTGACATCTAAGTGCAATAATTCATTTTTACAACCCATCCCTCCTTTCGTTAAAGGGAAAAAGGAATTAGAAGAATTACTTTCTGACCCAACTGAATGACATGCACTCTCATTATAGGTTTGAATCTCACCTGCACAATTTCCATTTTGAGCACCTAAATAAACATTATGCAAACACCCATGACTGAGGGAAAATGATCATGTTCCACCGTCCGGACAGGATCCTCTATCCGGCCACAGTTGTTTGGGCCGGTTTCCTTTGGATTTTTTTATGAAATGTTTTGAGTATGCTTTTCATGAAGTTTAGTTTGTGTTCATAAATTTTCAACTTCAAATTCAATGTGTAAGTTAGTTAAATAAATTATTGAAAAACATTGCGCTTATATATATATATATATATATATATATATATATATATATATATATATATAGAACTTATCCTGTCCGAACATTTGGACATGAGGCACCATCCAAACACCGCCGTTCAGGGAGGTTCCCGGTGGAAGTTTTTGATGAAAGTTTTATGGTATCTTCTTCATCAAGTCTAGTTTATTCATACCAAATTTCAGATCAAAATTCGATCGGGAAGGCCTTCAAATAATTTTTTGAAGTTGACTGCGTTTTTCTATGTATAATTTGGCGCATTCAACTTCAAATAATCATTTGAAAGCCTTCCCGATCAAAGTTTGAGCTAAAATTTGGTATGGATAAACTTCAAAAAATCGAGCCCACTTATAATGACAGTTGTTTAGCAGCCCGCCGTCAAAGTAATTAAATTAAAATATTAGAAAAGGTACAACGTCGGTTTTAACCATAACCGACGTAAAAAAGATTTATTAGGACGGTTTTTCAAAAACCGACGTTAAAGGAGTGATGTAATATGTCATTCTTGTAGTAGTGACAGCCCCCGGGCCGAACGGCGGTGTTTGGACGGCACCTCGTCCGAATGTTCGGACCTGAACATTCTTGTGTGTGTGTATACAATATAGTTTGGCGCAATTTTTTCCAACAATTTATTTGACTGACTTTCAGATTGCATTGTAAGATGAAATTTTGTGGGCATAATTTACATACTTCATGAAAAACTTGATCAAACATTTTCATCAAAAAATTCCATCGGGAACCATTCCAAACGGCGGTGGCCGGACAAAAGGTCTTGTCCATCCGGCTGGAAAGGATCATTGCTCCATGACTGAGTACATAGAATTTTATTAATACATACATGAAAATAATCTAATTAACTGTAGAGTTCCATTCACGGCGGGTCACCTAAATTTACTACTGATTCATTGGCCTTATCAATCATGCAAACTCAAATTACACTAATTAATGTGAACCATCAGCACAATTTTGAGCTTTGACAAACCAGTTTCAAAATCTGAAAGAGGCATTTTAAAGACTAGATTAAATGAAAAATTATTAAAACAAGCGACTCTTTTATAAACAAAAGGATTCTATCCCGACAGAAGACACCAACAACAAAGGGTTGTTCCCGAGAAAAGCAAAACAATAATGGAGATATATATATGTGAAAATATCTCGTACAGTCTTTGAATATCAAGAATAGAAAAGCATGTATTCGAGAAAATGGCTCACCATGGTGGTTCCCACGAGTTAGACCAAAAGCAGAATAAAGCAGGAACACAAGACACCAAAATGAAAAAAATAACGGCAACGACAGCTCGAATAAATCCTCCCTGTTCTTCGTATCATTGCGATTATTTAGGGTGTTCTTCATACACTCAACGTCTCGAGACAGATTATTCCTCATCTCTCACTGTTTCATCTCCAATACACGTACACACAATGACTGAGGTCTGGGTTGTTTCTTTCGAATGAGCAATAAAGTGGACAAGTTTTGTTTGTCTTTTCTTTTGCCTCTTTTCTTGGAGAATTTATGTGGGTGTTGTTGACAGTGTGATTTGATCCTGGAGAAGCGGTCAGCGGAAACAACTAACCTCTTGTGTTGTACCAGTTTCATTTAACTATACAAGAAAATGTTTTGCTTAAAAATGGTTTTAAGTTGCTACAAATATGACATACTTTGTTTTAGGACTAATAATTTTTTCCCATCCATGTAATATGTACTATTTCAGTTTGGTCCATCTCTAACTCCAAAATCATTATATTTGGGGAAAAAAATTGTCAGTTTCATAAATATATTAGAAATATTTAATTTTTTTTTTATAATTTTTTTGATGCTAATATGAGAGTTAAAACAATGTAAAACTAATTATTCACATCTTAAAAAAATATTAAAAGCCTTCTAAAAATAAAAATTAAATACTTTTTAAATAACACAAAGAATTAGAGGAACCTATTAGTCGGGATTAATTTTAGTTCAAGCACAGGTTGTTATCATCAGCGATGGATTAACAATAAAACAAACATAAATTTCAAGGAAAAACATAAAAATAATTTTACAGAGATTTAATACAAAATGTACTAAATTTGCAGGGACTAAAAACACATTTAAATCATTTTTTGTGTGTGAACATCACATGGACTTTATTATCTAAAAAATCGCTTATTTTTAAAAAGTATAGATGTTTTTAATTGAATTGAAATTTTCTACCTAGTCTTATACTCTTATATGAACTGATCTCGTATGATAATGTTTGTTTTATGTGTAATTCACAATAATTTTACTCTATAATGATATGATATCCAACTCAATGATGCTTTCTAAGAGCATCTTTAATGGGCACGTGAATTGTACCTCATAAAATGCAGTTCGTATACCGTGGGAGCAGCCCACGGTGAGCATGCTGCTCCCACAGAAAAAAAGTGTGTTACTGTTCACGCGCGTGACCAGTAACTTCATTTTTTGTTTTTTCATTGTCGCAGTAGCGGAATAGGTGTAACTCGCGTGTAACAAAATGTAACTCACGCTAATAAGAAATGTAACAACAAACAAGTTGAAATGTAACTTGTCTAATACGAATTATAAGAAATAAAACATTGATTTTAATGAAAATAAGGAGTCTAATTGCTCAATTACTTTACTTAAATAGTTTATATGTTTTGTTTTCAATATTAAGGACATGATTTTTTTTTACCTTTTTTTGCCAAATTAAAAATCATTTTTTTGGCCAAAAACTCATTTTGTTTTTGCAAAAAAATGTAATTTTTTTATTCAATAGAAGGGGTTAACATAAATGTTGAATATATATTTTTTAATATTAAGTCCATAAAAATGTTTTTAAAAATATATTTTGTGCCAAAACACATTTTTTTTGGAAAACAGTTTTTTTTGCATAACAATGATTCTTTTGTTGCAATAGTAGGCTTTATGTTGTGATGTGATTCATATTACAGAAAATGTAACCCGCGTTGATTGAAAATCTAACTTTAGTGTATGCAAAATGTAACTTGTTGAGGTAAACTCAAATGTAACTCGCGTATGGAAAGATGTAACTCACGCACAAGAAGATGTAAATCGTGCATAAGAAGATGTAACTCCATATAATATCAAATGTAATTATAGAAATAGTCTATAAACATAACTCACACATACGAAAAATGCATTATTCTCGTGTTTTTTTCAAATTTAAATCGAAATAAACAACCTTAATGACTATAAAACACAAAAACCATATAAAAGAGATAAGAAATATATTATAGAAAAAAGTATATGAATATAAAAAATATTTTACAAAAAAAGTTGATGGATAGTCTACCCGGGGGTATATATCTGAAGGGTTATTGCGGGAAGTAACAAGAGAGAAGTCAGAGCAAGTAAACAAAAGTAGAGAGAGAGTGTATTCAGTATGAATGTCGTTTTCAGCGTGGTTACAAATGAGGAAATGGGGTGCTATTTATAGTAGCAATAAATGCCGGGCAGGGACACGTGTCAAGCGCTCATTGGCCGAGGGGTCACCTCAACTGGTTGGCGCTGGCAGCCGCATGTGGCCGCATTTAATGCGGCTGTTGGATGGGACGTCTGTGCGGGGTACGATGATCTGTACGCATGTGAGGCGGATATCTTGTCGAGTGAGATGCCTTCGGCTATAGAGCAGTAGCCGATGGCTCTACCACCCGACGGCACCCTGGTGCCGAGGGCTCACAGTGCCGAGGGCTACTGTTTTCGCTGTTTTCTCCCAGTTTCTTAATTTGCTTGAGAAACCCGTTCTGTGAGAATTTAGAGCCTTCGGCCGGGGGGCCGAAGGCACCCCTGGCGCGTATTGCGGGCTGCTTGGTACTCTGAGCGCTGTGATTTGGGCCTGTTGGGCCTTTTGGGCCTGTTGGGCCTTTGCTGGAGTAGTAGGAGTCTGTGGGCCGGGGGTTCCCGGGCCATATACTCCATCAGGAGTCCCTCACTCCTTTTGCCGAAAGGTACTTGAGGGAAAAGGAGTAATTTGTGCTTGTCCTTTGATGTTGTCCCGTCATGATCTCTGAAGTTGGTGAGGAGTTGTTGCTTTTATGTCCCTGCTGAAGGCAGTCCCTCAGTTACCCACATGTCGGGACTTGAGGGCTTGCTTTGTTGTTTGTTGGAATTTCACAGATTTTGTAATTTAATGATTTTCCCGAGGGGGTCCTCCAGTCCCCCACTCCTTGAGGCACTTGTAAAGTGGTGAAAAGGAGTAAAGTAGTTACGTTGCCGTTGTGGGCCGAAGGCTGACGCTTTTCGTTTCATTTTGGGGGGATGCCTCGTTAAAAACCTCATTAGGAAAAACCCTGTGGGAAAAAATCCTAATGAGGGAAAAAGAGTGCACCGAATTCCCCCAATGATGAATCGAAAATGTCAAACCTTGGTAAAAATGGAGAATAACGGGAATGCCGAAGGCTCTCCCTTCTGAGGGCTCCTGTGTTGATTAGCCGAAGGCTTGCTGTTGATGTCCTGGTGGCGCCGAAGGGGAGCTCCTCAATCCAGGGATCGAGGGCCTGCCAGATGAGGGCAGCAGTGAAGCTGTTACCGGGGGGTCCACTGTTTGTTGATTAGTTGGTGATGAAGATACCCGAGGGCTCCCATTACCTGCGTGCGACGGGTTATCCCTCAATGAAGGCAACTCCCCGGGGGCTACCCGGTTCTGCAGTGCTGAGGGGGAATTCCCGAGGGGTGCCCTGATATGAAGCCTTGGGTTTCTGAAGGAGTGATCCCGAAGGCGTCTGTTATGTGCTGTGTGGGGCGCAACCCGGGGGCACTTCTGAGTGAGTGTACCCGGAGGCTATCCTTGATGAAGTGGAGTGAAGTAGAAAACCCGGGGGCTTCCAGAATATAGCCGTTGGAAATATAGCCGTTGGAATATGTAACGACAGGATATAGCCGTTGGGGGGGTGGCACACGTGGCGTGTGATGGCTGGCTGTTCGTGG